GCTGCAAACACTAGGAGCAAGTTAGTAGATAGATAGGTTACTAACGAGCGACATCTTCTTCGGTGCGTGGCCTATCAGCATTTTGGTTCCTGTTGGCATCTATGCCCGGAACATTTAATCAATCTAAAATCTCTTCAAAGAATCCTTTTAAATGCTAGAATACATGATCCATTTGTTGCCCTAAAGCCATCAATTCCACCCTAAAGTTTGGGATCTCGACCCTCTAATCAACGCTCCGAGGATCGTACCTATCATAACTCGGACCATTTGCCATTTGTAATACTTGAATTTATTTTCTATGCTTTGTGTGTATATTTATTATGTTAAGTATGTTCACACCATGTTTATGATATTGTTGACACGTATTTTGTTTGCAAAATAAATATTGCTAAGTGTTATATGTGAATAGTTAATTAATTGACAAGTGAAAGACTTAAAAAATATGATTTAACTAAATAATTTTGATACATATATAACTTAGGATTTAAGTTTAATTAGTGACCTAAACATGTATTAATCTAGAAAATAATATGCTAATTAGGAGTTATACCTAAATTAAAATGTCTAAGTATAAAATAACCACTTTAAGACATGTATCTCATTAAGGTTATTTTAGTCCAAAGTTTTCGCTAAGAGAGGGAAATAAAAGGAGAGAAATTTAACATTTGTCATTTTGTTTGCCTCTATCCATCTTTAAGATAAATTCAACACTAAGAAAGAAAGAGAGTAAGAAAGGCTTAAACATTTGAGAGGAAGCAAGAGAGAACTTGAATTTCTCAAGAAAAGAGTCAAAATTACTAAGAGGAAGGAAGCTTGACCAAAAGAAGGAGGAAATGGTCAAGAGGAAGAGAAGACTGTTTTGGCTTAGAGCTTCGAGGAAGGAAGAGAGGATTTTAAGGGTTTTAAAAGTGATTTTCACTTCAATCAAACCTAAAGTAAGTGTGACTTTAACTCACCACAAGACTTAGGGTTGTATGTGTTGATTTGGTGAGCTATGTTCTTATGAAACCTAGAGTTTCTAATTGTGTATTTGAATGAATTATATGCAATTGATGCTTGATTTATGAAATTGATAAATGATTGACGAATGTGATGTCATGACATGTACTTAATTATTGTTTGAACATGGTTAATAATGTGTTCATGTAAACCTAAAAATTCTACGATTTTGGTTAGTTACCAAATGAAGACTTTGTATTATGATGTGATTTGGACAATTGAATGATGATGATGTATGATTCATCTAGGAGAGATTTTGCTTGAGGTTACTTGAATTATGATGGTTGGTTAGTAATGTTGACGTGGAATGACTTAGCTTACATAATGAATTTAGCCATGCTTAGTTAATCGAACACTTGAGGAATGTTGTTGTGATTTGGTTATATGCTTGTTAATTGATCGTTTGAGAAAACTTGATAGTCTTGGTTTGGTCTTATGCTTGTTGGTCTTGTTGTTAGGATTATAGATTATATTAATGATGATTGATTGTATTATTGTTGTTTGGTGAATTCTGCTTGTTTGATGAATTTAGGTTGCTTATGGTTGCTTGGTTTGATTGGTTAAATAATTATAGGCTAGGCTTGTGTTAATGAGAGATGATTTGGCCTAAGTAGGTATAATGAAGGATTGTATTTTTATGTCATAGGAGAAATTTGGCTTATGTCCATGGAATTACTTAATGATGTTATGGCTTGATAAAATTCAGATTTGGTGATTAAATGAGGTTGGTTGGATTGTGTTCAATATTGGTTTAAGCATGATGTTATTCAATCATGTGTTATTTTTTGACTATGTTCATGGATAGCTTAATGTTATTTAGGATGTGTTCGTGTTGTTTTAAGGCTTAATGTTTCGACCTAGTCATGTGATGTTGATTGTGTTTATGGATGACTTAATGCCATATGGTTATGTTCATATATATGTTTGATAATGCATTCCAATTGTATTCATACAATAAATGGCTTTATATTATGATTTTAAGCATTCAAGAAAGGACATGTACATGTATTTTATGAGGACATGGATCCTGGTTAGGTATGTTCAAAAGGGACAAGGAGGAATGATCAATCCTTTATAAGGTTCATTAAATCGAACATGCTCGGTGCTTTTATGAATTTCATGATGACGAGTCTTAAAAGAGGGTTGAATTTATATACATTCGGTAAGGTATGCTCGAAAGATAAAAGAATTTCAAGCATGAAAATGATAGTTTTAATTGCATTCATACATGGTTACATTTACTAAGATTTAGCTCAATGTTTTGTCTTATGGTGTAAGTGAGCAAACTAATACTTGAGGATCGGTTATATGTGTTAAGGATGCTAACCGTGAGCTATGAAGTTTGCCAAATTGTGCTACAAGTTTAGATTTAAAGTTTGATGGCTAAACCTATGTTAGATTTCTCCTACTTTTAGACATTGCCTAGATTCGTCCATTTTGAGTTGTATAAGTTGATCTTAAAGTTTATTTGGCACGTTAACATTAACATTTATTGGATTAAGGGACTATGCAAAAGATATAAAATTTGGATATTTTGATGAATTAATCTAATTATGAATGTAGTGATGTAATTATGAAAATGGTAATAAGTTAGTTTGATTATAAATGGTTTAGGTTTATATAACTATTTAGTTTAATCTAAGAATTGAAATGAAATGATTTGGGTTATGCCATAGGTTATGAAAAATTTATTAGCCTCAAATGTTAAATTTTAAGAAGTCTCGAACTTTAAATTGAATGAGGATTTCATCGTGCATTATCATAGAGATCCGGGATAGAGGATACATACACCCTCGGGTATGGGATAGTGCGGTAGTAATCTCGGCTTCTTATGGGTTGCGTGCATTACATCGGATTAGGTTAGCGACCTTACTCCGATGTCAATTGATGTAGTAAGAAGACGAATAAACAAGCCTCTAGTACTTAATCGTGAAACGAGAGGATAGAAGAAATAAGTTTTTGTTTTGAAACTCCAAAATAGAAGGTAGAGAAAACTTTAATTTTATATTAGATTCAAAGCCAAAAGAAAAACAAAAGTCCCTATTAGTCTACAATACTTAACTTAAATAGCAATTATCCTACCCTAAAAAGAGTGTTTTAAATAGAGACAAACACTAAAATAGAAACAAACACTAAAAATGAAGTATTAAAAATAAATGCTAAATTTAAAATGCCCTCGTATTTTTTAAATTATCATTTTGCTCCTTGTATTTATCGGTTTAACACCCCTCATCAATAATTCATCGATTTATGACCCAAGCTTAATGACTTGATGGAGAATCAAACTCTCATAGTTCTTAATGGGTAAAACTTGTTGACGTTTTGCAAGAGATGGCTCGAGACTTACGGGGTCCATTGGCCCAAATATGAAAGGTTGCCATCCGTTTGAAGCAAGTTTGTGTTGATTTAGAAAACGTGTAAAGGAGTTATAATTAGAGCTTATCTTGTGTAATTATAAACAAACTAGTTGTAAATCGTGCGAGCTGGATTTTTTTCCTTCTTATCAAGGAACTATAGATATTGAATTGTGTACATAGTTCAACCAAATCTAATTCAAATCATAGATTTAAAAAATAGTTGTTACGTAGCATAATAGTCATTATATAACGATAACGAGGCACCCCATTATCGTTATTCGATGTTACGGGTACTCCGATGCTTTTCACATGAATAATGACAAATAACAATGTTACCATTATGTAATGTCGTTATTTATCTTTATATAACGGCGTTACAAAAAAGGGTAGAATTTGAGCGATTTCAACGACTAAAATTCAAGCAATTATGATCGACGAGAGGCAAAGAAATAGAGAGTTAGAGAGGTAGAGAGGGAAAGGGGTAGAGATGAGAGGCTTGTAAGGAGTATGAAAGGTGCGTGATAACCGATAACGAGAGGTTGAGAAAAGAGAGGAATTGGGAAGAAAAGCCCAAGAGACCCATATGAGCTTTATTGCTTTAATATCAAATACCTGCATTTGCGGGTTTTGATTGAGTAAATTATAAATTAGTCCTTCTATTTTGAAACAATAATTTCGTTTGTCCTTCTATTTCAAAAATTAATAATTTATTTATTTTGTTCATTTTATTTTTTAATTTATTTTTTCCTTTTGTTTTAAAAAATAAAAAATGAAAAAAATTAATTTATATCATGAAAAAGATTGATGAAAAAATATTTTATAGAATAAAATATAATATATTAAACATGATAATATTGATTAAAAGATTAAATAATTAGTTTTTAAAACATTGAAACCTAATTAATTCATTTATCAAAACTAGAAGCACTAATGTATGATTTAATCTTTTATTATTCTACTTTGGTCGTCTTGCATGCATAAATTCAAAGGTTGCAAAACAAATGCTGCTTTAATTAGTTTGAAAAAATAAATTAAGTGGTCTTTATTGTTTTAAAAACTTACTATTTTTTTTAATTTTATGTTATTTTCTAAGTTGTTTTTCAAAATTAGTTATTTTTTTGTTCATCTATTAGAAGTGTTATTAACTATTTTTTTTTAATAAATTCAATTATTATTGTATGATATTAAACTATTAGAAATGTGATTACTTATTAGTATATTTAATTAATAAAAATATTTAAAATATATGAATTAGAATAAACTTATTAATAGTCATTCACAATATCGACTGTCGCGATCATTATTTTACTATATATCGCGATAAGCCGCGATCTTTTTTTCAACCGTGACCATTATTTAAAACTATGATTCAAACTAATGAAGCAATAAACCTCAAACTAAACTAGTGAAGCAATAAATCTTTTAATTGAATATTCATATACAAATTTCAACCAAACCCAATCAATGAAAACCAAGTAAAAGCTAGATGATTTTAGTTCAAAATCCCTAAATTGATTTCATCGACCTATCATTGAGCTATCAAAATTATAAGATACCATAAGAATTTCTTGCTCTTGTTAGTAGTAAATGCATGTCGATGTTGGTCGATCGAACTAGAAGACTAGTTAAGTTGCGGTTGCCAAGCTACTCTACATGTGCAAAGTTCGAATTTGGGACTTCAATACCATGCTCGGTCATAGACGGTGTTTCATAGCTAGTGGTAGTACTCATATCCGAGTTCCCACCGGATGAAATTGACATTGAGTGACCCCTAATTGCAGCCCTTTTCCATGAATGAGAACTCATTCTTGAGAGAACATATGCACGTCCGGAGCGTTCATATAACTCCCCGGTTTCCATTCTCTCCCTAGTTTCTTTCAACTCGGCTTCAGTTGATTACATAGATCATCTCCTCGCTGGGCGGATGTCGTAGATAGAAGAGTGGATAGTTCTTTTGCCGACAGAGCTCGTGCACCCTTTAAATCTCTCATTTCAGCCATCCTTTGTGTCTTTGTGATAGTTTCTATTACTAACAAACGATTTTTTTGCCTATCAATCTCCAAACACAAGACTCGATCAATAGGAGATAAAAGTTGAGGTCATCGTATCTCAACGCTCTCACCTTCTACCTAGACAGTATCCATTGACACCGAATCTTTATGCAAACATGAAACATCCACCAATGGTGTGTTTTTCAACCTTTTCTAAGCATCAACGACTAAGGATACAGGAATTGAGAGGAAGAGTAAAAATTCCTTCTCCTCTTCTGCATATAAATCCCCGATGTCAATCATAGCTTGGTGTCCTTGATCAAAAATTTTATTTTTGTGTCTCCCGAACGAGTGTTGACAAAATTTTCACTCCCGGTGATGCCGACCTAACTTTGAGCTAAACGTCCCGAGCCACAATACTTATAAGACCACCAATGCATCTTACAAAAGCATCTTGTAAAATGTTAATGGACTCAATGAAGGAAAATGTATCGTCGGATGCATCGGATATAGCATGCATTACAGCTAAATCATGATCGGATCCAAACCCGAATGTGTGAACCGGGAAAGTTGGCCATTGAGACTCCTCTCCGAAGCGTTGCCGTTGGGAAAAATTGAAGTAGGCAATAACTTTAGATATTCCAATCTATTTTGCGCATTGTGACTTTGTGTATCACGACCATCGGATAATAGGATAATGCTTACGACCGAATTCTATTGATGTCGTTCTTCTAAAACCCGAGCCCCTTTCTTGAGTCCCGCAACAATATTAGTTCCACCAATTGCGAAAGAGAGTCGATGACACTTGTGGCATCTTCACGGCCACTTTCGGACATTCTCCTAAGTGGTAGGATTCTTCGAGTCGAAGAAGAGAAAGTCACAATTGAAAGTCGATCCGAAGGGCCTAAGTTTTGTATGATAAAGTTGACAAGACGCTTCGAAGTATCGACTTGCTTGCCATGCTACCACCGACATCCAACACGATTACAATATCAATCGGTGCACGGTGATAAGGGAGAGTATCATCGAGCGGAGGAGCAAGAACATGGACAAGAACGCCAAACTTGGAGAAGGATTCGAAGCGAAACAGCGAGGATACTCTCGAAAAGTCTTCACAATTATAGCATGGGGTTGAGACGAAGGGGATTGACCTTGAGAAACATCCGGGACTCGCTTCATCGTCCGAGAAGTGTTCCGGCTCAATATGAACCGGAGGTGCATTGTAAAGAGGTACATGAGCATGCACGGAACCGATACGTTGAAAACTCGGGGACATTTTTTGGTGCTTGAAAAGGTACATCTTTTCATTTGTAGCAACAAACAGGACATGTGAGATTACCATGCTCTACATTGTCGGCAATGCAATTGAAGTGGAAAGGGTGAGAACACTCCGCGTAGAAAATGGCTTGGCCTTGCCCTTTTTTCAAACTCCTCAAGCAAATGGCACATTTTTTCCGAGACAATGAGCAAAATCATAGCCAAATAAAGGTAAAATTTCAACCACTTTAATGGCATCAATTCTATTAAGCCAATGTAGACCATCAAATCAAATTCATGCCAATTTTTGTTTTATTTGCACAAGTTACTTAATTTTGATGATGTATATCTAACAAGCCAAAGAACAAATTTTTTTGTCAAAATATCCATCTACTTTCACCGTCCCAAGAATAGTGATGACCATTCAAAGATGTTCATAATCAAAATCCAAGTAGGCAATCAAGTTTATGGGATTTCAATTCCACAGCTTAAAATTCAAAAGGCTCATGAAAGTTATACATTGAAATTCAAGTATCTCATTAATTAAGCATTAATGGAGTTAAATAAAAGCAAGCTAAGCATCTCAACCACTTGTATGGTAATTTAGAAGTATGATTCAATTTCCTATCGAAAAGAAAGTATAACTTTATTACATCACCTTCAAACTTTTGACTCAAAGATAATCACAAAACAGCGAGCATGATTGTGTTGAGAAGAATTTTCAACTAAAAGCTTGCAAAGTTAACACAATATTCCATTTCATTTAGTGTATTCCCATTGCCCATAAAGCAAAAATGGTTTCTTTAATTCAAGCTTCAACAACACAAGAATAGTATTGCCCACAAAAATATGCTTCTCAAAAAGTCAAGCCTAATTTCCACATACAAAAAAAAAAAAAAGCCTCGCATCCACATACAAACTACAAACCCTAAGAAAACGATCGTTTTAACCTTCAAATCCCTACTTAACCCCAACAATAAACAACAAAATAAACAACTCAGCTATAGCCATGAACTAACATACAATGCCCTACTAGCCTTATTTTCTTGGAAGAAACAAACGATTAATAAATTAAACAACAAATTACTTTACAATTAATTTTTATATTGCTTAGTTAGATTTATAATCTTAGTGTAAAAAACAAACAACAACCCATTAATCAAATCATTGACTTTTTGAAGCCTCCTAATGCCATCATAAAAATAAATGCAAATTTCAACCACCCCAACTGACCCTTCTTTAATGTTATTCCATTGGTCCATTAATTGCATCACATAAGAAACGTGATCTTTTAAGTAACCCTCACCCACTTTTACCAAAACACCCCTACTCGAACCCTTAAAAAACTTAGAATAAAAGAGGAACACAAGGGCATCATCGTGATTAAAGTTAAACTTCAAACTCAGCTATGGATGCCGAACTCACAAACTACCGAGTCATGTTTTTTGCGGTAAGTGAAACATGAAAAACTCAACTCATCGGGCGGTTAAAAAAAGCAAATCACGGTTATAAACGAAATAATTTAATTAATTCGGTAATTAAGTAAACACCGATAGATAGAAGAGAGGGGATAATTATTGCTGAAGAGTGGAGACCGAAGCTGCGAGAGAGATGAGAACCGAACGATGATGATGTTGGAAGTGGTGAAGGAGCGACGGTGGTGAGGCGAGCATTGTCGACGGTGTCGGTTGTGGGGTTGGTGGTGATGATGGTGGGGGTGGAGGCGGAGAGAAATGAGAGCTTTTACTTGAGGGATTTTTTGAGTTTGCGCCATGCGCTAAAAGCCATTGTTTCGTATTCGAAGCGAAAGAGACGAAGGGGCAAAATTGTTTAGTAGGGAGAGAGAAAGAGAGAGAATGCTAGGGTTATTACCATGAAAAAAATGATGGGAAGGTCGAGAGATTCCGTAGATCAAAAGGGATTGTATATAAAAAGAAAAGGGATATTTTACGCGAGAGTTTTAGTCAAAAATTAAAATCTTATTTATTCTAATTGTATTTACTCTTCTCCTTCTCTTTTCTTTTTCCAACTTAAAATAATAGTATCTATTGCTTGCACTTTGTTTCAATCCTTCAAAACATTTGGAACATCCATGGCGTATAGACGACAGCGAGATCCGCAATATGTGTGAATCACGAATGATCCGGTCATATTAAAAGCGAGTTATTTCTATTTATTTATTTATTTAAAAAAGTGATGATTTCAATTCTAATTCGATCATTTAGAAAACTCGTTACGGAATAAAATGACTTAGGTAAAAAGACAATTTTAGTGATTAAAATTTTGGGTTTTAGTAAACAAATTTTGGGTTTTAAATTTTAAAAATGGATGGAGAAAATTTTGGAAAGATAAAAATATATTTACTTTTTGCTATGAAATAATCTTAGGTGCAATGAATTAACACACCCAAAACTCTTTAGTGTAAGAGATCATTATCATTGGATTACAAACTTTTTGGTATAAATTTTTATTGTATATAGAGCTATGAATGGATCCGATCTTGATTTGAATTTGACCCGATCTAATATAATTAAATAGATCTGGTAAATAATTTTTTTATTCGAGTCCGATTATAATTTGAATCTATTAACCGAGTTTATTAAATGTATCAAATCGGATCTACTTTGATCCGATAATAATCCGACTCGAAATTAAAAATAATATTTTTTATAATAAATATATTATTTTTTTTAAAATAGTAAACATTTAAATATAAAAAAATATAAATATGAAAATAGATTGAAATTTAGTAAATTTCAAATAACACATATCTTTAAACAATGATGAATGTATTTTCAAAAAATCACATATAAATTTCTTGTTATTTTCTTAATTCAATTTTGTGAAAAGAAAATTATAACTTGACTTATATACATTTTCTAGACTTGATGTTATCATATTTGTCATCACTCTATTTTTGCTACCACATGGACAAGAAATAAAAATCATTTATTATTTTTTTTAGTTTTATCATACTTTCTACCTAGTTTAAGATAAATTTTTATTAAGATTATTTGATTTTGTATTTTTGAATTGTGTGGTATTTTGAATTTTTTACAAAATTGATAAACAAAATATTCTTTTAATATATTTTATTGTATATTTAATGATTGAAATATATTTTATATTTGAATAATATATTAAATATAGTAATTATATATTTTTTTTAATAAAAATCAAGTGATAAATCAAAGAGTGCTCCAAAAGTTCCAATTTTATATTTTTAAAATCCAATTTGAATTCATAAAATTCGATTCAATTCGCTTCGATTCATTTTACTAAACAAATAGAATCTAAATCTACTATGATTTGATCCGAGTTCGACTTGTTGATAGACCTAATTTTATACACTTGGGTACGTAGTGCATGCAAGATTTATGTGTGTGTTGATATTTTATTTGTTCAATTACACACTTTATTTATTTGTTGAAATTGAAATTTTAAGAAAAATAATGAATTTGGTTGAATCTTATTCTAATTAATTTTTTCAATCACTGAAAGGAAAAAAAAAAAGAATAAAATGCGCCTAATGAATTATTACAATTTGTTAGAAAGGAAAAAAAAAAAAAAGGTGCTAGTTTTTCTTGTATGTCATTGAATCTTGCTGTTTGTATTTCATACCCAAATTAATTAGAGTTGTCACAATTGACAACTACATAAGATTATTTACACGGTTGATTGAGCCGTCTATCCTTGACTCTGTTTCTTTCTATTCAATTCTGATTACTCGTTTGATTCTTTAAAAATACAACATGCGTCCTTGTCAAAATGAATAGCTAATTTGCATTGTGAACCATATTTTGATAAAATAACATTAATATTTTTTTATTTTCTTTCCGAATTCCTTTTTCGAAAATTTAAACCGATAGGTTTGTAAATTCACATTGAATTTACTATCATATCTTATCATAAAGCACTCATTCAATGTATGAGATTTTTCAAAAAAAGCGATTTGAAAAAAAAAAATATTAAAAACTGAATGATATTAACATATATATACTCCTTGGTACCGGCTCATGGGACATGGGCCAGGACTTATGTTGGGCAAAAGCGCAGTAGAATATGACCAATTAGCACCTCTACGCAATTTGCTGATTGATATTTGTCGCTTAATTTATAATAATAAATCTCGTGAATTTTATACATCACCTAATAAGTAACTCCTCTCTATATTATTATGGAAAAATAAAAAAAAGTTTTTTATTGCTTAAAATAATAAATATACATCGATGATATTTTATTTTTTTAATAAATTCTTTGAATTTTAAATTAATACATAAACATACATATATAGATATTCTCTGCCCTTTTTTACTCATTCATGTATGTAGCTAATGAGTTCAAATTTGATTCCAAATTGCTTGATATGATGCAAATTTAGCCCATGAAATTAAATAGAAAACCCATACTTGCTAATTGGGCACATGACATGTATTTTTTGTTTTGCTTTTATATATATATATATATATATATATATATATATATATATATATATGGGTGTACGTGTGTATCCAGACGCCTAATTATTATGAACGATCATAATTAGTTAAGGATGCAGCAGTGATGGAACATGTTCATCAGTTTTCCTAAAAGTATAATAACCTAATGTGCAAAAAAGGAAGCCCACGTTCTCTTTCCCAAATAGTCTTGAAGCTTGAAAGAGTTTTTATTTGCTATAAATTAATCCTTCATAGGGCACATAAAATTCATTGTCAATCATATCTTTTACATCAGCTTTTTTTTTCTTTGACGATTTGTTAGTCTAGCAGCAGCTGCACCCCCCAATCTTTCACAGGTATCATCAATCTTCATTATCGTCTTTATGTTTGCTTATCTTCTTAACTCGTGTGTTTTTGGGCTGCTGTAGAATTAATTAGTAGGGTTTTTTGGGAGGATTGCTGCTAGCTTAACAATGCCAATGTTTTTTTTTTCTTTTATTCTATGGTAAAGAATGTTTTTAAAACTATGATTTTCAACTTCAAAACTGTGTGTCATGATAAATTTCATATGATCATGAAGAATCGGAAAAAAAAATTGTTAATTTTGCGTTCTTTTATGATTATAGAGATGCACTGTAGCGTGCTATTTTATATTTTATGATTATGTATGTTAAGTACTATGCTTCTAATTGGTTTTCAGGGCTTAAACAAATACTGTTACCTCTGCCTAGAAAATATATACATATCAGTTCACTCTCGCGATAATAGAATCCGTAGAAATTTCTCCAGCTATTTCAATAGTCTTTGATTTTATGTTATGTTATTTATTTTTTTTCAAAATTTGTCTTTTATTTTATATGTACTATGAATAAATTTGAGACTTTAGTATAAAGGCCTGCAATTTACTTCAAGAAGCAACAATATCAGTTCATAGATTCACTTGAGATTTAGTTGCTTATTAAACAGGGAATTGATTAAAAAAAAATTCTTTAAAGAAAGAAACCCCTCTAATTCTTGTAATTTTTCCTTGCTATCAAAAACACATGTACTCGATCGCCATTAAAGGAATGCAATATTTAGTTGATTAATTGATACTGCATAATTCTTCTTAACCTTGTGAAACAAGATCCTGAACTTGTAATGGAATTTCAAGATTTTACATGGTTGGTTTGATTAAGATGTAGATTTATAAGCTACGGGATTAAGATATAGATTTGACTATATTTTTTGAGTTTTATTATATTCAGAATGTTTTTTCTCAGTATGCACAATTATTTTGTTGTTTGAAACCAGGAATTTTAGGTGCCCTTTGAGTCGCACTCCATGAATTTACTGGAGAAATTTGACAACAAAATGATTTTTGTGGAGAGCATAGACAGCGACATGGTTTTTCTGGACAACGTTGACAACACTGCGGATTTACTGGAGAATATGGGTCGTCTGGAAGAAAATTTGTGGGAAGCCAAGACAAGTTACTTTCGGCACTTTGATCTCAACTTTCCAACTCCTGTTCAGTACAATTTGCCTCCCTATCGCATGTGCTTTCCTAGTCAACCTCATAATTTTCAAGCCGAATTGTATGGACCGACTCGACAACATCGAACTGCGCAACATGTTGAGGTCATTGATGATGATGTTGCTATAATCTCCCCCAACATATTTGATCAAGTATGACACTGACCCAATGTTAACGATTATTTGGCTTGTGTTCTTCAAGTATCTGATTCTCTTTAAAATGTTCCTCCTCTTACCAGGCCAGGAAGAAAGCTAGGAGAAATCCTGATGCAGCAAGGGAAAACATAAATATGGCCAACCAGGTTCATGCTGCTATGCACTACATCTTCTGTTTCCTGTACCCTCAATTTAGCCATCGTTCAACTTTGTGTCATGTCCTTCATGTTATCAAACTTCTAGGAATCGTTAAAAACCTAAACTCTAACCAGTGTCCTTTGCATTGGCAGGCAAGGAGTGTGCTCCAATTCCCTGGATTGTCCCAGCCTGTGCCATCACCCCAATCCCCTGGATTTTCTGAGACTCTGCCACCACCCCAATTGTCCGAGACTGTGTCACCACCAGGTGCACCTGCTTTTCGTTGCCCAATTTGTATGGACGAGTTGCAAGAAGCAACATCAACAAAATGTGGTCATGTATTCTGCAAGGATTGCATTCAAAAAGCACTAGCCGTCCAGAAGAAGTGTCCGACGTGCAGGATGAAATGCCGAGCGAAATCCATCTATAGGATCTTTCTTCCTGCTGTCCTTTAAAAATTCGTTGATCTGTAAGCTTAGACTTTTATGTAGTTTCAAAGAAACTACTAAACATCTTAAAATTTTTCTATAGTAATATCATAGTCCTAGGCAATTTTAACGGAGGCTTTCACTTTATTTAATGTCGGAAGGACCTAAATAATTCTGTTATTCGCATCTTGAACTCTCATTGACATCTAATTTATTTGGTTCTGGAATATTGACTTTGAAAAGTCTCTGCAATTTGCAGAATTTTAATGCTCAATTTACAAGGTCAGTGTGATTTTTTTAAATTCTAGGCACCTATATATGTTCAGTAAAAAATCATGTGTGCCTTTAGCTGATAAAAACGGGTGCTTGGATCCGCGCTAACTTGACCTGCTGCCGGCTAGCTTATATATAGCAATCAATGTTGAAAGTGGGTGAGAGCTTGAGCTTGTGGAGTTATCGTGACTTCAAGGCACAAAACACTTATGAATAATAACTAATAATATGCAAAGCCCAGGTGGAACTTTCTATTGTAATAACAAATTAGCCCATTAATCTTTATTCATGGTGGTCCGGACCTGAAGGCTGTCCCACGTTTGTTCTGGTTTGGAATGGACTTGGAAGTTGCAAGCTAAACCTATTTCTTTTTTGTTATGAATCAAACCGAATTTAGAAAATGTATAATCCCAGGAAAAAAAAAAGAGTGAAAATCAAAAGCTTAAACCAGGTTTATGAGTGAGATTTTATGAATTTTTTAGCTCCAATGTTGATGATCTGATTTGATCAAATCAAAAAGGTGAACTCGGTTTGAATGAGCAAAACAAATCCAAAAATACATCCGGTTGTGAAATAAACGAGAGAGAAAAATATGATAAAAGCATGGCCAGCAATTGAAGGATTGTATGCAGTAGGGACATGTGGGACCAAAATATAGTTGTGGTGGTCAAAGGTGGGTGTACGAGGATATTGTATTTTTCTCTCTGGAATATACCTTTTTATATTTATTTGCATCTGAGATCTTGAGCTTATCATCTATAAGATGAGCAACATATAATCGTAGCCTTAAATATATCTCAACAAAAATGGATACAGTTAACAGCATCTTTTCCTTTTTTTTTTTTTTTTTTTGGGTCGCCATGAGCCTGAAAGTCGCTCTAGCCATCTCGCGGCCTATGTCTAATTTCCCTAGAATTTTGTGAACTATTTATCAACAACTGCTTTTTTCGAAGTCAAAACACGTGTTCGTTTCGAGGTCCCAAAATTCTGGTGTTGTTCATACTCAATGTTGTTTTCTTTGAAATTTACGTAGCTGAAGCTGATGTTAGAGTCAAAGTCAAATTAATTACATAATCAACCAGATAAGGCCTTTTCTCTTGATTTATTTCCCTTTTGTTTGATATAACTGGCAATGACTCCCGAGTAAGATGCGACTAATTGTTTTCTTTTTCTTTTTCTTTTTCGATGTAAAAAAAAAAAAAAACTAATGCCATCGATCCATTCCCACAGATCCATTCCCACAGATGGAGAATGCCATCTCTGAAATTTGTACTAGAAATGTCGTACCGACACAAGCAAAGCAAATATTATTTCTCTTTCTCCTGTAAGACTTTTACCAGTCAAGATTTCTTGCCACCAAATTAAAATCCTGCGAATCAAAAGAATCCTTGCAAGATTTATTGATGAGATTTTGTTTTTCTTTAAATCTGATCTTTCCAATAAAGGCAAGTGAAGGGAGTTCATTTTCTTTTATGGCATTCAAGGGGGTCCGTATGTTAGTGATCATGCACTAAGTAACGTGTTAGAGATAAACAATGGAATGGTTTTCTTTTATGGAAATTACTATTTACTCTTTTTTTTTCCTACTAAAAAACAATCAATCATCTATATTTTTTGGTGTAACATTTAAATATTAGTAAAGATGTTATTAGTGCTAATTTTCAATAAATAAATAAATGAAAAGATGTTTACTAATATGAGTGTCAGCCCAGTTTTGTGTTTAGTAATACATTATATATGTTTTTTTTTTTAATTTGTTGCATCTCTATGTTAATCCAAAGGTCAGAGAAATGATTGAACATAAATTCATGAGAAATTTTATGGTATTGAAAGAGTAAAGAGTAATTATCCATATTTATTATATAAATGAAAGATAAACACTAAAATGATAGAGAAAAAAATTATAGATGAAAATATTTTTATCATTTTGTTTTAAAAATAGATGTATAAAGCAAGTATGAATAATTAGTTCCATAATATTTTAAAATTTACCGAAAGTCATGACATTGAAAAATCTTTTTATTTTTTATTCTAATGAAAAAGATTAATTATAGAAACACAGAAGGGCATAAGATGGAGTAAGGACGAAATCTATTTATTGAAATTTATTTATTGCGCACGGTATCTCTATACCATTCATATCATTTTTCTCTTTATTAATTCATAATTAAAGATATATTTGTGCTGATTTTAGATATTAAAATTAAATTTACTTCTTTATATACCATAAAAAATAAGTCATTGATATCGAAATTAAAGGATTCATAAGGATTTTATCTCTTAAGCCTAATTTAATATTTAATTAACCGCAATAATTGAGATGGAAGTAGTACATCTGCTTAAGTAATAAGTTCACCCTCTACCATTCACAGTTTATTGGGTGCATCTGACGACATAGAAATTAAGGTCCAAACGTCCGAAAGCTGATCAAGAGCAGCAATACGTATGTAGCCACGAATCCAACCTTTGAATTCCATGTCGGCCGGTCAAAACACCTTCGTTGCCTCTCCACATCAAGAGAAGTGCTAAAAAAATTCAAACCAACATTTTCATGAAAGTTGAATCTGACCTTCTTGAGTTAGGAAAGGCACGAAATGTCTGGCCTCCTCACGGCCGATGCTGCCAATAAAGAGCGGCCAGAAAAGCACCGCTAGAAGTCGATCAACTATAATTGACATCTCGAGCTGCACAGCTTACATTTTATGTCAATTTCTTGGGATCCCATTTAGATTTATTATTATTGTTATTATTATAAAAAAAATTGGATTCATACCTTTCATATGTAGATCAGATGAACTTCGTATCTATTAAATCTGTTGAAATTTAGTCTATATCTCTGACTGATTATCTACGAGAAAACATAAAGATCCACGTTTAAGCTTTTTTTTTTTGGTTGGATAATGATTTTTTCAATTATTTTACATATTAATCGAGATTATTATTTTTTAAATTATTATAAAATATATTTCTCACATCAGTACCGTACATGAATGAAAATAAATTATTATGGCTGAATTTTCACCGATATTAACATACTTTCAACAGTAAAAATTATCTTTATTCTTATATTTTTAGTGTCCAAGAAAGTTGTGATTGGACAATATATGTGCAGATGGTCCAAATGCCTCCCTCAATAACACACTCTCAAGTACCAATAATAATGGTTGCTTTAATTTCTCAAACTTCGCCATTATGGGAGCCTGAAAAGACACTATTAAACAAATCGATACGTTTTGGCGCCCTTTAAGAAAATTCTACTAACCTTCCTTGCCACGTTCTTTCCCTTTTTTAACTCCAAGCTCTCTCTCTCTCTCTCTCTCTCTCTCTCTAAGGAATCCATTTTTGACCCTCTTTTCTGCAGGAGTTTGTAGAAACTAGAAACCACACACAGCACAGTTTTTATAGCCCCTACCGCTATTTAACACCCAACTTTATTGTAACCCAAAAAAAGGAAAAAAAAACATCTTTAGTTCTCTTCCTTTCTCTCTCTATGGACTCTAAAAGAAACCCCATTTCAGTTCAAGATTCTTGAAGTTTTTTTGGGGCTTCAGTTTTTCTATTACTGAAACACAGAGAGCAAAAATGGATCTTGAATCCGGGTCCTCGACCAGGCAGTCTAGCTTGGTAAATTATTGTGTTTTTTTTACTGTTAAGTGTGATTATTTGGATGATTTATTCTTTCTTTTTGGAATTGAAATGTCGAGTTTTAAGTGTGATATGTCGTTGACATGAGAATGTAGCAGAATGAAGGAAATTTTTCTTGGTTAGTGTAAGTTTATACACTTTTTCGTATTTTTTTGACACCCTCTTGACTGATTAGTCTATTTATGTAGTTTCTGTTTGGTTGCCAAGAAACTGTTACAGAATGAAGGAAAATTTTGCGGGCCCAAGTAAATTTAGAAGCTTTTCTTGATTCTTCCGGCACCATTTTGACTGATTAGTAAATTTGGTTAAGATTTGTCTCTTTCTATTTTAGTTAGTTTTGTACTGTTTTATTGATGAATAGTTTGGTAAGTAATTTAGAAACTTGCTGCGATTTTTTTGACAACTTGTAATTATGTTCAACTTTGCCTCTTCTTTCATTGGCAAATGTTTTCTTCAACAAAATTAAGGTTTGTAAATATTGCAAATGTTAATTACTGTTTTATTCATCAAATATTTGAAAATTAGTAGTAGCAGTATTGAATCGAGGGAAAAAGTGTGATTCTTTTGGTGTTTATTAATTTATCTGCAGAAATTTTACAAGAGTACTCTGATTCTAGCGTACCAGAGTTTTGGTGTGGTATATGGTGACTTGAGTACATCACCAATTTACGTCTACACCAGTACGTTTTCGGGGAGGTTGAGACTTCACGAGGATGACGATGAAATTCTTGGGGTACTTTCTTTGGTTTTCTGGACTTTGACTTTAATCCCTCTCTGCAAGTACATTGTATTTGTATTAGGGGCAGATTATAACGGTGAAGGTGCTCTCAAAGACCTGTCTTTGTGTTTGTTGCCTTTTTTTTTTTTTTTTTTTTTTTTAAATTTAGAAAAGTATTTTTCTATACTTTCTTCCGTGGATTCTTGAAGGAGCCTCATTCGTTTCAGGAGGAACATTTGCTTTGTATTCATTACTTTGTCGCCGTGTAAAGTTGGGACTTTTGCATGCTTCTCATGCAGCAGATGAGGACATATCTTCTCAAGACTCTTGTCTGTTAAACAAAGAGACTAGGGCTAGTTCTCTCCTAAGAGAGTTCTTCGATAAGCATCATAATTCTCGTGTTGTACTGCTGCTTGTTGTGATTCTAGGGACTAGCATGGTTATAAGTGATGGTATTTTGACTCCATCAATGTCAGGTATGTTTCCTTCTAGTCGCATAGATGACTTCACTCTTTAAATATGTAGAAGTATGACCATTGTTGGTAACAATTTTGGATTATCACTAGTCAAGACCTAGCAGGAACACTGGAATGAGGGCCATTCGAAAGGTCTTCCCTCGGTAGATCAAGGATTTGTAATCTTCTAATCTAAATCCCTCATTCAAGCCATGGTCTATTGTGTTGTAGTGGATGCCTTATACATAGGTCATTGACGTCCTAAATAGAATATGGTGCTTAATGTTCTGGTCTTTCTAAATCAATTTAGGTTGGTTTGTCATGCTTACATGCTCTTAGTTTATAAGGATAAAGGATTGTGTGATTCTACTAGTATCTTACCATAAAAATATTTCTTCAAAATGCAGTCTATTTCTTGAATCATTAAGGAGCTGTAACCATTGACCAATCGTTTTCTTTTATTTCCAACAGTCCTTTCTGCTGTATATGGCATCAAAATCAAGGCTAGGGGACTACATGACAGTAAGTAAATGTATCATTTCTTATTTTTTTTTCTTTTTAGCCAAACAAAACTAGAACTTTTTTCTTTCACTATAATGGTTTAATCATTAATGAACTCGCTTCTTAATATGCTTGCATACTTTGTTCCTGGGATTTAGATTCTCATATGATCGTTATAACATTAACCAGAAGGTCTGCAAGAAAAGTTCATTACAACTGCCTTGGGAATGAGTGAGCAATATAAGGAGCTTCTGTTGTAAATATCTTTTATTGATAAACTATCTACAATTTTTTGTGTGCAGATTATGCTGTTTTGATAACCTGTCTGATTTTAGTGGGTCTCTTTGCACTTCAGCATATTGGGACACATAGGGTTGGCTTCCTTTTTGCCCCTATTACCTTAGCATGGCTATTATGCATTAGCGGGGTTGGTATTTACAACATAATTCAGTGGAATCCACGGGTTGTGAGTGCTCTTTCACCATATTATGTGTACAAGCTTTTCAAATTGACAGGAAAGGATGGGTGGACTTCTCTTGGAGGCATTGTCCTTTGCATTACAGGTTCGTAGGTTCCCCTTCATTTTGCCCTTTTCTGCTGAAGATTTATATGAGAATGGCTGAAAAATGATTTCTTAATAAGGTGCGGAGGCTATGTTTGCTGACCTTGGTCATTTTTCACAGCTTTCCATCAGGGTAAGTTTCCCCCTCTAGTTGTATGCATAGGGCCAAATTTCATGACATTTTCTGTTTGTGCCTATGCTATGTTCTTGGAGACAACTACAAACATAGTTTTTTATTTGTTTAATGATCTATATTAACCTTTTCTAGGTCATGCATGCTGATTTTTGGCATCATCAATTTCTTTCCCCTTTTGACTTATTTTTTCTTACACGAGCAGATTGCTTTTACCGCAATTATTTATCCTAGCTTGATTCTGGCTTATATGGGTGAAGCTGCTTATCTCTCTAAACACAAAGTGGACCTCCAAAGAAGCTTCTATAGAGCAATTCCTGGTAAGATCTTTCTTTTTATTGCTTCTTTCAAATCCAATTTGTTTGCTTGTAAATGTTTCTGCTATTCTGCACCTACTAGATAATAGAATATAAAAACTAAATTTGAATTATTTTCAGTTGAGAGGATGCCACGTGTGATTTCATATAATTGAGAGGTTGTTTTGTGTTCTTCTTGATGTCAAATGAGATTGTATTGGTCATATCATAAAATGCTTCTATTTTCTTTTGTCAGCAGCTAACATGAGATGTAAGTTTTGAACTTCTTTGATTTTGCTCCTGAATAGCAAAGACCTTCTGTTTCTTCTTATAGTTGTTTCAACATGCATTTATTTTCTGATTTTGCGAGAATCTTTTGGATTCTGCATATAAAATTTTGCTCTAAGTGCCAGTGAATTAGCTAAAATGTTTCTCATGAGGATCAGCTAACATTGAATTTCGAACTTTGTCTATAAGTTCTTAATGGTCTTTAAAGCACAAAATCTTCGGCTGGTCATTTTACTTTTACATTTCCAATCTTTCTAGGATACATGTTTACCAGTCTAATCCCGGCTGCTCTTGGTTTATTTTGGGAATGCTGCTTAATTTCTCAGTTTGGCTCACCTTGCTAACTGTTTTTTCCTGTTTAGCTACACCTAATTGTTTATTGCAGCATTGTTCTTGGAGCATGTTCTTATGGGATTTTTTGTTCTTTTTCTACTCAGAGGTTGTATTTTGGCCAGTATTTATCATTGCAACCCTTGCAACAGTGGCGGCAAGTCAGGCAGTCATATCTGCCACTTTCTCAATTATCAGCCAGTGTCGGGCGCTGAAGTGCTTCCCTCGTGTTAAGATAATACACACATCAAATCAAATGCATGGGCAGATATACATACCAGAGGTGAACTGGATCTTGATGGTTTTGTGCCTTCTTGTTGTGATTGGCTTTAGGGACACAGACATGATAGGCAATGCATATGGTAAATGCCTCTCTTCCTCCCTCCCCCTCCCTCCCTTCCTCACGATTTGATTGGTTTATCTCTTTTGTACCAGGTCTTGCAGTTATCATTGTAATGTTTGTTACCACCTGCTTGATGTTTCTTGTTATTGTTATGGTTTGGAAGCGGAGTATTCTGGAAGCCTTTGGTTTTGTAATTGTTTTTGGATCCTTAGAGTTGCTCTACTTGTGTTCCTGCCTGCTCAAAGTACCCAAAGGAGGCTGGCTGCCTCTCATTTTCTCCCTGATAGTTTTGTCTGTGATGTGCATCTGGCACTATGGGACATTACAGAAACAATCATATGAGTCACATAACAGAACGTCTTTGGATATGCTTCTTAGTCTGGGTCCAAACATCGGTATAAATCGTGTTCGTGGTGTAGGCCTAGTCTATACAAACCTGCCCTCAGGTATCCCTCCAATGTTTTCGCATTTTGTCACGAACTTCCCTGCCTTCCACCAAATCCTTATTTTTGTAACATTTCAATACTTGACAATTCCAAGAGTTTCTACCAATCACCGATTTATTGTAAGCCGGATTGGTCCCCCAGAGTTCCGTCTCTACCGGTGCATTGTCAGGTTGGGTTATAAGGATGCAAGGAAGGACACTCATGCTTTTGAGACCGACCTGATTGAAACCGTGGCAGAGTTCTTGCAGCGCCACGGTGATGATAGTGATGCAAGAGACTCAGGAAGTGAAATGACTCTACATCAGCAGGAATCAAACCATCTACTGGATGATGTTAGCATGCGATTTGAGAATGGTTCTGGGGCTGGATCAGAGACCAGACACAAGAGAGTAAGATTTCGTGGTGTGGGAAGTAGGAAGGAATTGGAGGAACTGGAGGATGCCAGGGAAGCTGGTATGGCATACATGATGGGCAATACTTGTGTCTTGGCAATGGAGACATCATCACCTGTGAAGAAGTTTGTCATTAACATTGTATATGGTTTCTTGAGACGGAACTGTCGAAGCCCATCCACAGCACTGGGAGTTCCTCATACATCTTTGATTGAAGTAGGAGTGGCTTATCATGTTTGATGTCAGCCTGAGAAAGGGGAGGGTATTGTTGGGATTAGGTGGCACTGGACAAATGGAACTGTGATGGGCATATTATCCATCTGGCTGGCTTCTCTTCAGCCAAAATGCAATATTGATCACGAAGCCATCTTGACCCAGTTTATCTGGAAAGGATTGGGGGGTGGGGGCGGCATGACCATATTGATCAGGAAGCCATCTTGACATAGTTTTTCTGGAAAGGATTAGAGGCGGGCATGATGTGTTACCATTGTAAACTAAATGTAACAAATAGGTTCAAAGAACTTGAATTGACTGATCCAATTACACTGTTATAGGAGTTTACATGATAAAGATTCCTCAGGTTTAGATAAGTTTAAGAATACAGACTCTATGACTTGTAATCATTCTTTTGTATATCATAATTTTGTTTACCTAGTTATTTTAAAATGTCTTGTTTCCCCAGATGATCTTAAAATTGTTCTCCATCTCCCCTTGCTAGCTTGAACGAGAGCATTCTTTTGAATGATGGCAAAATTCTTTGTGAATCAAATTGAGCGGAGAAAAACAAATTAATTGCATTTCAGAAGAACTATACTAAATCAACCAAAAAGTAAAAGATACAATTCTCTTTCAGTTTCATTCATATGACAACCAATACACAACAACCAACCCATATATCACAGCTCTATTGGGCCCGTTTTATACCTCAAAATTATACACAAATAATGCTAAAAAAATAACACCATACATCTCAACAGCATAAACAATCTCTCCATGCCCCAATATGAAAGTGGTAAATAAAGCAAAACCAAAAAGAAAACAACACACAAAGTGAAAGAAAGAGAGGTCCTAAACATGGTCTAACTTGTCTGGTTTGGTATGATGTGGAGATGGTGGTGTAATAGCAGTACCAGGTGGTGGAATAGGTGCTCCAAAAACCTGAGCATTTGTACGGACATCTTGTCTTCCTTTGTATCTGCCCAAGTAGTAACATCCAAAACCAAGAAGTAAGCAAAATATTATCAAAGGCAAAGAAATCACCACAACCATGCCCATCTTTCACTTCTAAATTATATATCCCGCCTTCAAGCTAAAGCTGTTTTAGAGAGAAGTGATGCAGGTTTACGCAGTAGAGGAAAGGGAAGAGAGGGGTTTATATATATACTGCAGGAGGGTTTTCCTACTTTTCTTTGTTGGTCATGAATGATCTGGATGGAGGATTCGGATGCTTAATTTGTATAGAGAAGGGGCTTGTAAGTTCTAACGGTAGGCTCAACGTTCAAGCTTCCAACGGTTACTTTTTTGGCTGGGCCAACGTTCTTTAATACGTTACTTTCACATGGATTATTAAAAGCCCAAAATTATAATTATGGAGATGATGAGCTGTCTTGGAATTTAGCTTTTGAGGTAAGGAAATTGACAGATTCCCCCGGCCAGGTGTTGTCTGTGATGAAACTGTTAGGCCAACACGGGATTTAGCTTTACGTTTAGCATGAACTGAATAGACCTCTTTAAAAAATAATAATAAAAAAAATTATCTGGCTAAATATATCACACTTTCCTTAAACTTTAGCTTATTGACATTAATTCTTTGAACTTTAAATTTAATTTTTAAAATCTTTAAACGTTTAATTTTTTTAAAAAAATTTAATTTGAACTAATGATTTCATCCCATTTAAAAAATTCAATTCTTAGTATTTAAGTTTAAGTTCTACATTAATATTGAAAAAAATCCAATCCATTTAAAAAAAATCTCAAAATTTTTGAAATTGAAAAAATATATATTTTTTTGTTTTTTATCATTAAAAATATGTAAAATAACTCAGAATAATACTAGTTTTTTTTAGGAGTCATATATAAATTTTACTGAATATTTTTATCATAGAGTTATTTATATAATAATTATTTTTTTTGAATAAATGATAGAAAAATAAAAGATAGATTATCTTAAAAAATTAAAATTTAAAAATCTTAAAAATATAAATTGAAGTTTAAGAATTTAATGTTAAGTAAATTAATATTGAGAGAAGGTTTGATCCATTTAGCTTTATTTTTTGACATGGAAACAATGAAATAAACATCACATGGGTTTTACAGTTTTTTTTTTTTTTTTTTTTCATTACAGCTCTTGTGACTAATTGGACGAACATTAAATTATTTATTTTTTCATCTAGGTATTTTAGTGTGACATAAAAATAGATAACATATCATAATATAATCCACTTTTTATCTGGTCTTATAATTTTCTTAAAAAGATAAGGTATAATCCATCTCCTCCTCAATTTTAACGTTGAACGGTCTATTTTTTGCCACCTATGTAGGTTTCAGTTAAATTCCTTAAAATAAAATAAAAAATTGAAGACTGTGTAGAGGGCGAGGCCCAAGTTTCCTTCGGGGCTTGAAAATGCAGGCCTGAAGTGGATTGATTAATATAATCGGTCTAATTAGCGGTTAACATTAGCCCATTTGGCCCAATTTTAAATTTAAGTAAAAACCCCGCTATGGAAAGGCGTAACTATTACGCGAGCTTCTCTAACGGCTAGTATACCAGAAATGTATGACCTAGCATCCTAAATTTTGTTCTCTCTGCTTCGATGGGTTTGGGGCTTTGTTGTTCGAGTTATTAAACCTATTGAAATCCTCCATTAAGCAAGGATTTAGAGTTCATTGTGGAAAATTTCGGTCTAAGAATTCGACCTTTCACTATCCATGTTTCAGTTTACGACAGAACACCTGTGGATTATGCTTCTTGAATGCGCGCGACAAAAACATTACCTTCACCTCTCTTTCTTATTAGTGATTCAATCGACCAAACGATATTAATTCTCTGATTTTGTAGTTATCTACAATTAGGGTTTTGAAATTTTGATTTTGAGGATTTGTAATTCATATTTTAATATTAGCAGCTATTCAATTTGTAGGACAGTTCACTACTCTCTTGTCAAGTAGGAAAAGATTTTTTATTTTCAACGAAGGATAATTTCTTTCCTTTTTGCCCTACTTTCACCAACAAACAGCACGACGCCTCCAATGGATTCTACAATTTCAGCCACTTGTTTTTCAATGTTGATTTTGTACTCTAGGAACCCTCTGTTATGTAACCCAGAACAAGCTTATAAACAAGCACCATATCCTCTTGAGTCTCCACTAAGAATGCTTCAGCACTCATCAGTAAATTACCTTCCTAAGAAGGTTTGTTGATGGGAAGTTTTTATCCTTTAGGGGAAGATGAGTAGCTGAGATCCCAAGCTTCAATCTGCTTATAAGTACACAGGTAAAACATCCTGTCCTTTTTTGAATATAGGATGTTATTCTTCTATTCATCACCTATCTCCTTCAGGTTAGTCCAAGATTTGTCTCCAGTTCCGTACTGCAACAATAGTTAATCATCGCCGTGCAATTCTTCTCATCCTCGTTCGGATTTGAGGACGTAGCAATCAAGCTGACAGGGCTCCAGCTGAAAAAAAATCGTCCCCGTCGTCGTAGTCCACCTCGTCCATGTTAACATGCTCAAGGCCACTACGGAAAATATTGAGGTATATGGAAGAAGGGCTGCGCTTGTACCTTAGCTTAGGTTTCAGTGTTTGAAAAGAAGGGGGAGACGATTGATTTTGGAAGAGAGATTATTAGTAGATAAAATCCCGTCAGATCTATTATTGAAATAAGCCAAGCAGCCTTTGTATGCCTCGAAGCAGGAGTCAGGGGAGATCTATTGTGGAAGCTTTATAAATTTGTTCTCTGCTGGACTAAGGAAGCAGTAATCTCCAATCTTGTGATTCTCGCAGGCAACAAACATCACCGAAGGAGTGGAAGAATATGGCAGTGGCAATTGTTCTAAAACTGCAGGAGGGATACTGTTTGCTTCCCTTTTTGGGATTGGATCTATAGAAGAAAAAGAGGAATATATGGTTTCTGTATGTCGACAGGAATTGTGATGGTGATGACTTTTTCAGGAAAGAAGAAGAGGCAGAGGCCCTCTTCTGGGCTAAACCGAGCAAGATTTGGGAATATGCCATGGCTGACGGTGATAATTAAGTACAAAGAGAAAGTATTATATTACTACACTGCAACTAGGGTTTAGGGCTTAGGCAAGTTGGGCTTTCCTTATGCTTGGTGAGGAAGAAGCTCACCTTGTTGAGCAAGAAATTACTGATCTGTAGGAGAATATGAAACGAAAATCAATTACTTCAGTCTTGACTAACACACAAAAACAAATTACATATATAATCATGGTAGAATCGTACATATGTTTGCGTGTAAAGCTTACATGTCTAGGATAATGATACAACTGGCTAGAAAAAGAAGGCATGAAGTGCCATTCCATTTGGCTGCAAAAGTTGCAGTTTTGGTGAGGGATACCATAATATTAATTAACCTTTCACCTTCCATCCCCAATGAGTTCACTGAGCCTTGGTTCAGTGATATTTACTGGAGAGTATATTTGATCACCTTGTGGACTAAGATCAATTGAATTCTGATGCTCGCTTTTATTTTTGTTCTTGCTAGCCTCAGATTCAGTGGATGCTCGAGCATTTTCAGTCGAAAAGCTGGCAGTGATATCCTTAAAATGCCAATCAGTCAAGTAGCTTGGCTTTGAAGCAACAGCAGTCACTTCGATATCTCCAGTAAGCATTGCTATAACTCTTGACATTGTTGGCCTCATTGCAGGTGATGCTTGAGTGCACAAGAGAGCTACTCCTATAACTCGAAGAGCTTCATTTTCATCAAATATCATTACTCTTGGATCCATCAGTGCCAAACTTTGGCTACTTTCATGCAAATTCCACGCCTAGAAACATTATACGCTCAGTTCACATCGAGAAGGAATTTAACAAAGGTACACAGGCAAGAAAAAAAAATAGAAGAAGGTATAATAGAATTGTTTTCTTTACCCATTCGAGAAGATAGACCCTTTCATCATCCAAGCTAGTGTCAGAATTTGCTCTCCCACTTAGGATCTCCAAAGCAACCACACCAAAACCAAAAACATCAGCCTTCTCTGTAAGATGTCCACGCATTGCATACTCCGGTGCCAAATAGCCACTACAAGAAAATTAATTTGCTTTGTGAAAAGGTTTATTGAAAAAAATCCCTTGAAATAATCTCCGATGGTTTTTACGTATGGCTTCTATATGCTGCACTGTACTATAGATTAACAGAGTTCATAATGAGGAAATTAAGAATGATCTGAGGAAATGGTTGAAGGAGGTCCTACATCGTTCCTGCAACTCGAGTGCTGATGTGAGTTTTCTTGTCGTCATATAGTTTCGCCAATCCAAAATCTGATATTTTGGGGCAGAGTTCTGCATCAAGCAAAATGTTACTTGCCTTGACATCTCTATGTACAATCCTTGGCCTTGACTCCTCATGGAGGTAAGCTAACCCTCTTGCAGTTCCCAGGCATATATTGAAGCGGGTTGGCCAATCAAGATGCATCTCATCTTTTCCTGCACAATTAGTACATGCAAGCTTAGTACGTAATCCATTTCATGAACAAAATAGAGTCTGAAATCTGAACATATATCTTATTGAAGTACAGTGAGTTGGCCAGCCAAGAAGCAAGCTCTTTCATTACATGCTTCAGCAACCAAAAGTAAATTGTGTCTATTTCTATCATCTGATGAGTATAAAGAGTCTAGGTTTCTATGGCTACTTAGCAAGGGAAGCATGCAAGCACTTTGGCATTTTCATACCAAAGAGTATCTGATCAAGGCTTTTGTTTTCAAGGTATTCATAAACCAGGAGGCGTCTATTTCCTTCAATGCAGCATCCATACAATTTCACGAGATTACGGTGTTGAACAGCTGATATGGTTGCAATCTCAGTTATAAATTGATTCGTTCCCTGGTTAGATGCTACTGAAAGCTGCTTTACAGCTACTTCCCTCCCATCAGAAAGCATACCCTACAAGGTAACAGAATTTAGTAACATAAAGCCTGCCTTTTCCCACGTAAACTTAAATTCTTCGAATCGCTAGCTTATCTTGTTTATAAAATGTAGAGCAATTGTCTTGCGTTTCTTACCTTGTACACAGGTCCAAATCCCCCTTCCCCTAGCTTTTTTGAAGGACTGAAGTCTTCAGTGGCAGTCCTCAACTGGGCATAACTAAAAGTGTTTGGTCTAGGGCCCATCCCAAGAAACACTGCAGATTTAAGCAAGAAAAATTGAAGTCATTAGTTTAGGATACCTTTCTTCATCTAAAATAATTTGTACAGATCAAGTTAATATATAAAATTCTAAACAGTGGTGAATCATTCAAGAAGAGTTAACCTCCTCCACAGAAATTACATCTCAGATTCAACGCATAAAATCATTTCTGTCGATACAAGAAATTTAAGGAAATTTTGGAGGTACTTGGTAGTGTATCAGGATCAAGTCGATCTTCTCTCGTGTGAGAGAGTTAAGGGCTTGAGAGAGCTGCAGCTCCCTATTAGAATCATCACACTTAACCAGTTCCAGAATCGACAAGGCTTGGATTGGACAAACTATAACAAGCACAAATATGATGATCTTACCTTCCTCATCTTCGCTGTCTCTCTTCCGACTGATGTAAAGAACTGCAAATAACAGGATCAGGATCACAACTCCAGCAGAAACTGAAATACCAACGATCAATCCCGTCCTGCTTTTCTCTTTCCGAATACTGGGTGCTATCCCACTAACAGTTGGCGTAAAACCTGTGCTAATTCAGTTGCCAACAGGCAATAGCTAGTGAGAACCAGAGATGCACAATCTGGGCATACTAAATTTGCTTGGTAAGTTATGACAGGTTACCTGGAACAACATTGAGGGCTGAAATGATTGGTCCATAGTAGCCTTGTACAGGGGTACAGCACGTCCCCTTACCAGCCCAAAACAGGTGAATTTCAAGATGATTCTCTGACACAGTAACATTAAAAGTCATTGTAATTGCTTTGTTGATCCCACCTGCCTCCCTTGATATGTCAAAATCCTTTAATCGGCGGTTTCCCTAAAAAACATATAATTAAGCACAGAGAAAACGGAATTATAATTACTTATTGAAGTTTGTACTGCATGCATTTGGTTTTAAACCTTTTCTTTTTTTTTTTTTTTTTCACCTGGATATAAATATCAAAAACACGCCGTCCTAAGCTCTTCCAAGTTCGTGAGCTTCGATCTGCAAATGCAGTTTCCGCAAATAACAAATCTATAGTGTAAGGCCCATTCTGGAGACCTAGGCCATAGTACCTAAGTGAACTGGGAGATATCCTTGAAGTCTGATAAAGCTCTGGGGTGTTGGTGCCGGTGACTTGTGTCAATGTATTTTCAACATAACTAGTATTTTGTCTATCAGAAAACAAGCCCACATTGCTCAACCCCCATTTCTCAGTACTAGTTACTGTAAATGATGCTGCACTGATAGATGAATTTTCAGCTTCATAAAGTGTTCCATCAGCGGTTCTTTTCTCTGGACCACCACACTTGATTGAAACATTTGCATCTGCAACAGATGAAAAGAAAGGAACTGAAATCAATTATTCTCTTCCAAATTGATGAAGGCATGAAGCCATTTCACCTTTACATGTAACTAATTCCTGGAAGTCTAGACATGCTGTATAAAACTAGGATGATTAGTGGCAGGATCTAGGAAGGCACATTTTATATTGAATCAAACAATGAAAAGTTCTATTAGGAACTAAATTACTGAATGAAGAAGCTTACAGCGTGGAGTGTTTCGGTTACATGGGAAATTTCTTTGTAGGCAGTTCAATCCTGGCAGAACACTACATAGGAAAACAACTCTTATTGCTTATCAGAATTGGAAACTGAGGAGGAAAAAAAGGGAAAGAACTGGTTCCAAATACTGGATCAGTATTGCACCAGTTTTGCTTGCTGTACACTCTAGCTACTAATTACAATGGCTTTGGAAAGATGTCACTTCACCTTATATTTGAGCTGTCAAAAGAAAAGTTGTTGGCCACAAAATTCCTGCATGTTTGCACAAAGATTAATGACAAATATGTGTTGTAAAACATAGTAAAGATTCATGATGACAGAACACGACCATGTTGCCTTTTACGAGGTAGTTCATTTATGTGGTGCCTAGAATGTAGTGCTAAACTCAGAAAACAAAGATGGATGAAGAAAGCGCCATGGTTTTGGGACACATACAACTGTAAATTCGAGGCTACCCATGAAGGAAATGTTCCTGACAGATAATTGTAAGACAAGTCTCTGCATGCAAAATCATATCAGGAGAGGTTAGTAAGAACATGATAACGATGAGTTGGGACAAAACGATATTCAAACTTAATTCAGATACAAAAGGAAGGAAATAAAGATAAAAATTGTTTCAGGATATAGTCCAACAAAAAAATGGTGTCTTGATATGATCTAGCATTGCTTCAGAAGCTGGTATGTAATCGTTGCTTGGGCAGTGCCGACAGATTCCATGTATAATATTCTTTGGTATTAGGACTTACATATTCCGAAGTCTATCGCTCTTCTGGTTAGGAAGGGTTCCAGATAGACTATTGTTTCCAAGAAACCTGGCCATTGCAATAGTACGGGGAGAGAACAGAAAGAGAAAGTAACAAAGTGAAGAGTTCAGCAAAAGTGTCAGAACTGAAAAAAAGGAAAAATGACAACAGCACTTCTAAAGGTTAAGTGATGGTTACAAGTATTCAAGAGAAGACAAATTGAATAAAGCACTTGGAACTTGTCCTGTTAAGTTGTTGAAACTTAAATCCCTGAAAAAATTGATGCAAAAATTACAAAATAAACAAACAAGTAGATTTCGTTGATGGCTTTGGCGTTTTAAGCTAAATGAATAAAAAAACTTACAGTATATTTAAAGTTGTGATTTCTCCAATATCAGATGGAATACTACCATTGATCAATGCATTCCTCAGAGTCCTTCAGAGAAGATAAATAAAGTAATTAGTGCAGATTCGGATGTTTATCAAAAAAATGGATAGACTAATCAACTACTTACAAGTCAGTCAATTTCTTCAAGTTCTTGATAAAATCAAGAGTAGAACTCACATTGCTCAAATCGCTGATTCGCCTGTACAGTCATGTAGATTTAAACATTAAGGAAACTAGTTTCTTTTGTCAGCAGACAGACATATGAAAGATAGAAAGAGAATTGAAAAAAAAAACCAACTCACAGAGAGTTCAATGAGGTCAAGTTGGAAAAGCTGGATGGTATAGGACCTACAAAAGAATTCCCTTGAAATCTCCTGCAGGAACATTCCATAAACCAATCACAAAAATCATTCTTCCCTATAGCTGTAAATATAGTCTAACAGATGCAAATATCAGAAGATTTTATGGCTTACAATGATGTAAGCCCTGTCCAGTTGCCGATGAAGTCAGGTATGTTGCCCGTGAAAGGATCATCTGATGCCCACCTGAACATATACAAGCCAAGTCAAGCTGAGCCATGCTCGGGTGTAGTAACCTTGGATTTGAAGAGGAACAAACTGCTATAGATGAACTTATAGAGCGTGATTTCCTTACAAGACTCTCATTCCTTTAAGGTTAGCAAATGTTGAGGGAATTTCACCACCCACTCCACAACTATTAATATAACTGCAAAAAACACATATATTAACTACACAAGGTCCAAATCCTTACAAAAAGAAGACATTTGGTTATATTACATGGGAACATGTGCTACAACTTACAGTTCCTCAAGTTTGACAAGATTACCCAGTTCTGGAGGGAGTGTCCCTGAGAAATTATTTACACCAAAAGATCTGTTGAACATGTAACAAAGAAGAAATTTTTTAGAGGATACCGTCCGAACATGATTGAGTGCTTAAAACTTGCACTCTAATTCATCTTATAATCTGCCATAACACCAAAATGAGGATATTTGTAGATAATTTCTTCCACAAAGTAATTAAAATTTGATTGAAAAGCAAATCTTACAACGAGGTTAGCTCCTTAAGATTACCAAGCTCCTTAGGGATGGTCCCAGAAAATGCATTGTGCGCAATTGACCTAGTCACATAAAACCAGGTAAGGTCGCTGAGACGTCCAAGTTTAATTGTTTTTTATTGGTAACGGAAGCGTGTCAGATGTAATAAAATGTTCTGGAAAGAACTTGTTCACTTAATTATCAACAAAACAAAAGGAACTTCTTTACTTACAAACCCTTCAATGCCGTTAAATTTCCAATAAATGCAGGCAATGGACCAGTGAAGTAATTTTGATCAATTTTCCTACAAAATTCCATCAACTATATGAGCTAGAAGCCTAGAATTTTTCGGGAAAAAAAAAAATTAGTAATTTGGGTGTGTTTCCTTACAGAAAGGTAAGATACTTGAATGATGTAAGTACTTCTGGAATCACCCCAGTTTTGTCCAAAGCATACACTCTCCTGAAAATTGTTAAAAAGTTACATGCAGACTAAAAATATAGGCAAAACAAATGATAACAGCCCATAAATTTTATGTGGGCTCGTGCGAAAATTTGAAAGAGAGAGAGAGAGAGAGAGAGAGAGAGAGAGAGAGAGAGAGAGCATACAGTTGAGTAACGTGACATGTAGTACGATTATCGTAGGAACAGTCACATTTGATGGAAGGGTTGTTGGTCGGGTCTTCAAAATCGGTTTCGTTTATGGCAGATCCACTGCATGGCTCTCCACTTAAGTTCCATAATCCCACAGCTTGTGTGTCCCATTGTTCAAATAATGAGTTCAATGCGCTCACTGTCTCGCCATCCCGAAAAAAGAAAAAAAAAACTTTTATAAGGGTTTTTTTTTCCTTTTTATTTTATTTGACAATAAAAAAAATCATTAAATCCGTTTAGTATTAACTGATACTAAATTTTTTCTTCAAATAATATTAAAAATATATTTTTTCTCGATTTACTGCATTCAGAAGATTTTTTTCTTTTGAATATTATTTTAAAATTTGAATTTAAAAATCAAAAGATAGGTAATTACTACATATTACCAGGATTCATTCTACCAACCAATCACATAGTTTTCATCCATATTAACCCTGCACGTCCTATTTTTCATGTTCTGGGTGGATTTCCAAATCACTATATATGCCTTAAATCAGAAACAAAAATGTCCAAAATGAATTCAACATGATATTTTAGTTCTGCTGTTACCTGGACCTTTACCGCTTCCATCCCGTAGTAAAAAGTTGTCCGTGTTCTGTGTTTTTTTTTGGCTTTTCTCCTAATATAAACAATATTTAACTAACTATCTGTTAATCAGTGAATAGGATATTCATATTCTTGGTTAATGAAAAATCTACTCTATGATTCCCTTTCGTTTTAGTAATTTTCGAAACTTTTGTGTAATCATTTCTACATATGAATCAACTTCGAAGATATCGATATAGACATAAAGTTAAAATCTATGTATCACCTTTTCTTATGTTATCCAAACGAATCTTTGAAAAATTTCTTGTACGAAGTAATATATGTTTTTTTTTAATATTAATAAGTAGTGGTTATTTTCAAATCAGTTTTTATAATAATTCAAATTAAATTTATTATTTTTTAAAATAATCTAACCGAAGTCTAATATTATTTTTAAGAGATAATTATAATTAGATATCTATACATAATGAAAATTGAATTTTGATATTAATACGTCTAACTAATATCAAAATTCAATTTTCATTAAAATAAGTTTAATTTTTTATTGATCATTGGTTATTTGTTCAATTAAATTAACCGAAGTCTAATATTATTTTTAAGAGATAATTATAATTAGATATCTATAAATAATGAAAATTGAATTTTGATATTAATCAAACCAAAACAACTCTTTTATTAGCATACTATATATATATTATTAAAATTTATAATTAAAAAGTGAAAAATCAATCCAATCAAAGTTTGATTAATAGGTTTATTGAAAAATGAATCAAACTTTTGAACCCTCACATGAGAAGGTGTTGTTAAAAAGTCATTGTACATACCCTTAAAACTTTGATTAAAAAATGGATATGTATTAGTTGACTATTAGTACGGACTACAATTCCAAGTAATGATTATAAGGGGAAAAAAACTCCAAAGTTGATGTAACAGAGTAAATTATAAATTAATTGCTTTAGTTTTTTTTAAATGAATTAATTAGTTTTATATTTTAAAAAATAATTATTTAGTTTTTTTATTTATTTAAATATAAACAGAAAAAATAGATATTGTGAAGAGATTAATAAAAAATATTTTTAAAATAAAAAAATATTAAATTAAATATGACAAGCACCTATAAAATAATAAAATAATAATTTTTTAAAATAAAAAGAACTAATTAATTAGTTCCGAAGGATATCTAACTGAAGAATGCTCCACCCAATAATAATAATAATAAGGGGCATTGATTGCGATACTCTACCAAACACAAGCATCCACAGATCTACCCTCTCTTTCAAATTATTATCATTTCAAGAAAATATCATGAAGCTAAGTGCTCAAGTCCCTTAATAAATCTCGAAAAATAAGTTATAAGTAAAGGAAAGTATTAAAAAATTTATTCCAAATCAAATAAATAATAGATAAAGTTAAAAAAAATCCTCTACTATAAGATTTAAATATTTTTTAATCAAATCCAAACTCAATGGTAAGAAAAATATAACAGAAACATCATCAAATACATAGGTAACATTTTAGTTTTATTCTTCTGCTAAAAAAAAAAAAAAACAATTCTTGATCACAATAAATATGAATGAAATATTGATGTAAACAAACCAAAGAAAGAAAAACAAGAGTTCCAGTCAGATTTTACATATGATACTTTGCCTTAAGACTATAACCCTTAATTTCAAGAGAATTAAAAACAAGATTAAAAAAAAAAACAAAAAAGAACATGTATCTTAGAATTCAAGAGATGAGAGAGAGTTACCTTCAGATGGATCAGTGGTGGCGTTTTGAGCAGTGGACAAGTTCAATATTGAAATAAGAAAGAAGAAGTAAAGGCAGCAAAAGTAGTGAGCAAATACTGAAGAATAAAGCAACTTTACGTTCAATTCCATCCTCTCTACCACCGAGAAACAGAATGCTTCACTTTAGACATAAAATAATATCAAAGCTTGTCTTTAAATACCTTAAATTAAATACAAAGAGAGCGAAAGCAGTGAAGACTTTGTGGCCTGAGTCCACGTAATGCATTGTTCAGACTTTGGATCTAGTTAGTGACCTCATTTTTTTTTTTCTGCGTCGTGGTATGTTATGTATGATCAGTTCTTTTGTTTTCTGTAGGATCTATAATAAAATAGGAGTTTTGAATTAGTCATAAAATAGCTATTGAATTATTCCAACTGTCTTTAGTAATTGTTGAAATTAGTAGAAGATTTTATTACTAAGCAGTACTGAAAATTAAGGATGAGTTGCTAAGTTTTTTTTTTTTATTTGTTGAGTTTCGTCGAAGTAAACCAAGCCATTTTTTTTTTCCCCATATTGTTGTTTACCCATACCTAGAGTTCTACTATTATCATATCCCCCGACTTTTCCATTCACCATAAGTAAAAAAGTTAAAGACCAACCCACATCGGCTTATATTCCACCTCACGTAAGACCTACCACCAAGTCTATTATTGCTGAACGTAACAAATTGGTATAAGAGCCGGGTATGGAGGAGCGAGCGGCAACGTCTTGGATGTTTGGAGGCCGAGATTAGTAGCTTGAGCACGAGACGGAGAAAATCCTCAAGGAAATGTAGGAGATGTTTGCTGCCATGAATGCCGGATTCGACAATCTCGTGACCCTCCTAGGTTGTGAGGTTGGTGACTACCCCAATAATCGAAGTTAGAACACTAGAACTAGATTTTTTGGTAGTAGAGCAACCCACGGTGATGGTTCCACTCTCTAGTACTTGCCTCGGATGATGATGCTTGATTTTTCACGATTCAATGGAATGGAGGACCCAACAAGTTAGAACTATATGGTTGTCCAATTTTTTGAGTTTCACCAAACACCTAAGAAGGAAAAGGTGTCCCTAGCTTCTTTCAATCTAGAGGGAGATGTCTAATTATAGTTTCAATTGGTTAAAGAGTACTACTACCAAGAATCATATGGGAGATTGTCATGCAAGGCCTTCACGAGTAGGTATGGTCCCACTCAATTTCAAGATTTTTTTTAGTGATCTAACAAAATTATAGCAAACTAGCTCTATTAAGGAATATCAAAGCCGGTTCGAGAAACTCTTGATTTGAGCGAGTAAACTATCACCGGCACAACGAGTGGGATGCTTTATGTGAAAGATCATGCATCCTATAAAGATATAAAATAAACAAAAAATTTCTCCCTCTAAAGGGCTCAAGATCATGTCATTGAATCAACTAACTATATGTACATAAATTAAAGTAATGAATAGAGAATTACCTCTTGTGGCGCGGATCTAAATTCTTTAGCAAAAAAGCCATTTAAGTGTCCGGCCTCTATCGATGATCCACGCAACCCAAGCACCCATAAAAAGCACTTAAAATTGGCGAGTGCTAGCTCCATTTTTTTTTATTTATGTAGTGTTTCCTATAGAAATCTAATCCAAGTAAGTTTACAACAACCTTAAAAGAAGAGGAAACGTGACATGTATTAAGGTTTTAGGAGAAAACCATTTTCTCCTTTTATTTTGCTTCTTGTTGTGTACCACTGAGAGATTTTCTCTCTTTGCTAAACTTCTTCCCTCTCTTTTTCTTACTTGTGTCGCACCTCTCTCTCTTATATATTTATAGGAGAGGCTTCCTTGTCCTCTAAGGGCAAGGAGGGAAGGCAATGAGTCTCCGAAGGATTTTAGGTTGTTGCTTTCTAATCTTTCAAGGATTAAGAGTTATTTTACATTCTTGATCTTTATCTTTAAAGCATTCATTCTTATCTAATAAAATTGATGTTTATCCTCCCATCAAAATATCTTCAAGATTTTAATTAAACTTATTGGGCTAAAATCATTCCGAGTCCAATTAATTTATTTGGACTATCCAAATAAATAATCTTAGATAATTTTAGGCAACCCATATTAGGAAATAATTTTCTAAAATCCCCTTTAACCTAAATTAGAAAACTCATTTTCATTTTAAGTTATTCACTTTCAAATTTGGAACCAACTTCCAAATTAAGAAATTGATTTCTAACATAGAAAACTTTCCATTTTAGGAAACTTCTATTTAAGGAAACTTTCCATTTTAAAATTTTTTTCATTTTAGAAACCTTTTCCAAAATAAGAAACTTTCAAAATTGGAAACTTTTTCTAATGTCTTTGCTTCTCTTTAATCATGTGAATACTTAAACTTATGCGTGTAACTCAATAAGCTTCTAGATATATTGACAACGTATTATCAACAAACGATTCCTTTTTTATCTCTTGATACATAAATTAAGATTGACCTCTAGTAAGGCATCATGACTACCCAAATCTCTAAAATGATTAATTAATCCATTATCACCTTTCACGAGCATGATTATCATAAAATTCAGTCTTCATATCAACTTATCATAATGTAATCTCAAACTTGGTTATAAGTCTTGTTCGATTATGATCACACAAGTTTTTTCAATTCCTAAATATCTTAGCTCTTAGAGTAAACCAACTATGCTCTATTGGTGTACTCCTACTATGGTCATAGATTTCTTAAGCAAACATTCATCGAAATGTAATGTGATAACTCTTTTAGCATATAAGGAATGACATGTCCTATCTTAGTCATACATTTACCTTCGGTAGATTTCTAGTGTACCAAAATGAATCGCTTATGTGCAACCCTTTATTGAGTCCATCGAAACAAGTGTCAAAGTGCATAAATCCTCTAATGAGATAACCGTGATGCCTTCAAGTCTAAGGACCACTTGTACCTATCTCGCATGAGATTCCCGATAGACTAAACCAAATGGGTTCTCATGACGAGTCAAATCCGATAATATGTTCTCTAACATAAATCACTTAAGTGCTTACTTTAACATCATAATGCTAATAGGTGTGAGATCTCTTACTCGTTATTATATAACATGAGCATAGCACTCATAAGTCTAATCTGCATAAAGTCAATGTCCATTCTTTATGATGCTACA